TGTTTTAAAAAAATTACAAAACTAAATTCTCAATCAGCTCAATATTAAAAAAATAAAAATAAAAAAAATAAAAAAATAAAAAAAATCATGTGAGAAAATATTGTGGTAATCCATAGTATTTTAAAGAAAAAAAACTAGAAAATTAAATTTTCAACTAACTTTATATTAAAAACAAATTAATAAAAAAAATTCTAAAAAAATCATAAAAAAGACAATTTTAAAAAAATAAATAAAAAAAACATGTGAAAAAAATTAAAGTTAAATTCTTGACGAGTTTAATCAACAAAGATAAATTTAAAAAACATATGAGAAAATATTGTAATAATTAACAGTGTTTTAAAAAAATTATAAAATAAAATTGATAAAGATTATTTAAAAAAATAAAAAAACATTCATAAAAAAATTATATAAAAAAATATTATAAAAATTCATAATATTTTAAAGAAAAAATTATGAAATTAAATTTTTATTGAATTTAATATTAAAAAAATAATAGATAAAGATAATTTTAAAAATATAAAAAAATAAAATAAAAAAATCTTAAAAAAATATAAAGTTCATAAAAAAATAAAAAAAAAAATAAAAAATATTATGACACGGTAAAAACGACAATACTTTGTTATTCCTTATTTTAGAGTATTATTAATAAATTATATATTTTTTTTATGGATTATGATATTTTATTAATTAAAAAAATACTAATCTTTTTTTAAAATCCAAACAAAATTAATCATTTCTATTGAAAAAGCAAAAACGAAGTCAAAAGCATTAATTAAGTACGTCTTTTAGTAGAAAAGTAATTTAAATAATTGAATATAGAGTGCGGCGAGGAGCACAAACTCAATAATTGAATATATTAGCAATTAAGCAGCAGAGGCCACGTTAGAAAAATAAACCCAATGCTTTTTTCTTATTTATTTTTATTAAAATTTAATATATTTTAATATATTTTAATATAATGATATTAAAAATAATTTTTTAAAATAAAAAAATAGTATTAATATATATTTAAATATAAAAAATTATTTAAAAAATAATTGTAATTACATTGCCGAAGAAGCTCTTCATGAAGATTCAATCTTTTCTTTATTATTTTTTAAACTCGGACAAGTTGATCGACCGAGCCTCGTTTAGCATTTTCAGACGAGCTAGCCTCGTAAAATTCTCCAACCTTTTAATCTTCAACTTCACAGTTAGGTCACCGATTAATTTTTTTGTTTTAAGAAACTTCCTGAACTCTTGATTCCCACCTCGAATCACGTAGAACTCACATTATAAGAAGATTTTAGTAAATTTATAGGTTTTTAATTAAAAAAAAGAGGAGAAATTGTGTTTACTTTTTTATTTTTTTTAATTTCTCTTAGATAAGGAACTGTGGAAACGAGAAAGGGCTAGAGAGGACCTGAGGGGTTGAGGAAGCATGGGGAATAAATGGGGTTTCCTCTCATGCTTTGGAAGAGTGATCATGTAGAAAATATCTCCCCAATCAAGCTTCTGCTCCTCAGACACTACGAAAGCTTGTCCAAATCCCTCCATTTCTTCTGGTCTTTGCCAATACTTTCTCTTCTCCTCCATTGGTAGGTTGAACAGCTCTTGAATCCCTTCCTTCACTTCGTTAACCAATGAATCATCCACTCCATGATTTATCAACTGAAACACAAGGGAGCAGCATTTATCGATTTGAAAGAACACCTTAATGATCTTGAGTTGTGGCTAACATGTTGGTTAATTACAGAAACAAACACAAATAAAGTTAATTACCTGGAAGAAACCCCACCCCATTCCTTGCATGCACGGTCCATTTTATCCAGCTCTATATCCATTTGTTCTCCAGAAACTAATCTTTGCATGTCAATTACAGGGATTTGGGGCAAGGAAGCCATCTCATTGTTGTTTATTATTGGAGGGTCTTGATCAAGACGCAAGTATCTTGCTGGGACAGTGGCCGGTGACTCCTTTGCCAGCTCCTGAACGCAGGGCACCGCCAGAGACTTCCCAAGTGTTGCTGGTTCCATGGCTCCTCTCTCCTCTCTCCTCTCTCCTCTCTCTGCAATTTGTTTCCTTCGCTTGTTGTCTAGATATTTAGGAATGCAGCCCGTCCCGTCATATAGAAGCACAGGTTGATGACTTGAGGTGCCCTGCCTAGAGAGAGAGAGAGAGGAAAAAGAAGAACCCGTTTCTCACCCGCGGTTTTGGACCGTAGGATTTCAGAAGGTTCTGGACCACAGAGGATGCCATTTCAAGTTTTTCTTCTCTCTCTGGGTAGGAAGCAGATTAGACATACAAAGGATGCTGTTTTTGTGATTTTTTTTAAAATTATTTTTACTTGTTTTAAATTATTAATTTAATATATTTTTAAATAAAAAACATTTTAAAACATAATTATTATCATAATATTACACTCCAAGCAACCGATCAAATCTCACCTCAGTGTTGTAGGATGTGCTCGTTCTTCTTATACTATGAAACATTGCTTCATGGACTTGAGAGATTTTTTTTTATTAACATGAATTTTTTGAGTCAGTTTTTAATGTTTCTGGTATTAATCTTATAAATTTTAAAATTAATAATTTTATAAATTTTTAATAATTTTAAAATTTATAAAAATAATTTTTAATAAATAAATTTACACCCTTTAAAATTAGACTAAGAGACTATAGTAGCCATTGATAGTGATCCCAAGAAAAGAGAAAAGATATATATATATATATATATATTTGTTTAAAATTCCAACTGTCAAGCTAGGAAAACAGAACGGATATGTCTTAATTGTGCTTTGATGTTGAAAGATATGGGTTGTCCGAAATGATATCCAAAGGCCAATTCATAATCATCAAATTAATCTAAGATCAGTCACCATAGTTTTTATATGTCAAGAGAAGCTCAAAACTATAAATCAAGAAATTAAACAAAACTTGGAGAAGCAGTGATTGTATCCCGTGTCACAGGAGCCCTCCAATATGTAGTTCAATCAATTTAAAAAGAAGATATTTAATAAAATTAATAATCCATTTAGTGTTGGGGGGGGGGGTACTAGAATGTTTTATAAATTACAGGCATAGTTAAACAAAAATCCATTATGTTCTTAAAAGTAATTTTTTTAAATATATTAAAATAAAGTCTTAATATATTGTATATGATCAATGACAAAAAAAAAGAAGTGATAAAATTATATATATCTATATAAATAAAATATTATAAAACATAATTAATTGAATATTCATGAGTTTTTTTGTTAATAATCGAAAAAAGATAACATTTTCATAAAATAATTGAGGCTAAAATAAAATGTAGTAAGAACTTGTCAGTTCAAACTGAATGAATTTTCTTCTTACAGATACATTGAAGGCAGCTGTTTACCATTCAAATCCCTCTTTTGCGAGATGCCACGCAACCCCACCGCCAACTTCCGTGTACCTCACGTTTCAATCATGCGCCCTTCACCAATGGTTTCTTAAATTGAATTTTTGGAAAAATATTAAATTAATATATTTATTTTTTAAAAATATTTTGATGTTAAAAATAAAAAAATAAAAAATTATTTAATATATTTTTAATTAAAAATTAAATTTTAAAAATAATTTTTTTATATTTTAAAAATAATTTTTTTTTTTTATATTTTAAAAATAAATTTTTTAATATTTTGAAAATATACAGTTATAAATTGATGTTATTATTAATCATTGATGGCTCCACCTCATCTTCTATGCTTGAAAAATAGTTTATAAGAAACACAGGCCCAAAGACATGACGGACCAAAAAGTTTCTTTAACGTTCCAAGTTTCAAATTAAGTTTGGATTAATTTATAATTTAACATATTATATTATTAAATTAATTATAATTAAAATTGATTAATATTTTACTATAATATAAATTATTATATATTATAAATAAATTCATTGTAAATTATACTATTTTGTATTGTAACATAAATATTGTACGATGAGTGTTTTCATTGTGAACTGTACTATTTGGTAGAGGCATGTGTAAGGTTGCAGTTGACAAGTTCCAAGTATCATGTTGGAGGTGCACCCCCATATATTATAAATAAATTCATTGTAAATTGTACTATTTTGTATTGTAGCATAAATATTGTACGGTGAGTGTTTTTATTGTGAACTGTACTATTTGGTGGAGGCATGTGTAAGGTTGCAGTTGACAGGTTCCAAGTATCATGTTGGAGGTGCACCCTCTCGGATTGGACATACCTCTATGCCCAAGTGGTGTTTAGACTATGTCTCAATGCTAAGCACAATCTTGTGCACATGTGACGCTTAAGATGTTTACCTAGAGCTTGGGTTGCACTAGGCGTGTCCATGCTCACTCTCTATTTGGACACAACTGGTATTTGGGTCATACTACTAGATCCAAGGGGAATAGGTACGACATCACGATCCAAGATTAATAAGTCGCGTGTAAGGACTAAATTTTAAATATTATTATTTGTTTTAGAAATATTTTTATTTTTATTGTAATTAATATTATTAATAAAATAATTAATAAATTTCAAATAAAATATTAAAATTAATATTGAAAATATATTATTATTTATATTACAAAATTTTATGGTGTATTTTATAAAAATAAAAAGTGAGTCCGCGTGTAGTGTTATTAAAAATATTGAACAATTCTAGGTATTAATATAAAAACTATTATAATTTGTATTGTAAATATTATTATATTTCTTAGATTACAAAGTATTCATCTAAAACATATTATTATTTTAAGTATTCATCTCAAAATATTATTATTTTAAGTATTTATCTCAAAATATTATTATTTTTCTTATAATTCAACATATTTATATCAAAGATATTATTATTTGTGTTATAATATTATTATTTGTATAACAATTCAAATTTTTAATATAAGAAAATATTATTATTTGAGTTCTCAATATTCTTGAAATTAAAAATAGTATTATTTGTGTTCTAAATATTATTAATTTCATTATAATCAAAAGTATTAATATTAAAAATATTATCTTTTGTGCTATAAATATTATTATTTTTATAATAATTAATATTATTAATAAAATAATTAATAAATTAGAAAAAATTTATTTCTAATATTAAAAAACACCCATATATTTGATTTGAAAGGCCACGTAGGGACATATGGCGCTTGGGCTATTGCATGGTGGCTGGACACACCCCTGCGCCACGTGACACTTGGGCTCCTACCTATAACGCACATATAGCGCTTGGGTCTTGCCTCAATGCCAGGCATACCTTTACTTATACGTGACACTTGGGCTGCCTGTCTTGGGGCTTGGCACCCCTAACACACATGTGGGCTTGGGCATGCCATGACCCATTTATCCTTTGGCGCCGCATATACAGAACCCAAAATAGCATTGGGTCATTGCCTGTGCAGCATCCAAAATAGACTTGGGTCCTATTCGTGCATGACCCAAATAACCTTGAGTCCTGTAATATAATCAAAAGATTAATGTTTTCTCCCAAGTATAAGAGTATTTAAAAAATAAATAACCCGACAAGACCGGGGTCGAATCACAGGGAGCTTAACTATATAAATTATAAATAATAATAATAATAATAATAATAATAATAGTAGTAGTAGTAGTAGTAGTAGTAGTAGTAGTAGTAGTAAGAACAACAATAACAATAACAACAACAAGAATAATAATAGTAATAGTAGTAGTAGTTTATCTTATTCGAATAACGCTAATACTTATAAATGTTGTCAGATATTTATGATTATAACCTATGTTAACAACAAATCAAGTTCTTTTTATAACACAAGTGTAGGTTATACCATACGGTTGGGTTATGAAAGTGCCAAGTATTTGTTGCACCAAGTGTTATACAACACAAATCTAGATTAATCATTTAACAAGTAAAGTATTAAAAGTAAACAAGATAACACATACAAAACATGTTAGTATCAAACATTAAGATCCATGTTGAGTTTAGACTATACTTATTCTTACACTATTAGTGTAACATTTTCATCTTGACATAATAAACTTAACTAAACATAATAAAAGAGAGAAACATAAATAAACAAGATAAGAACATAAGTAAGATAAAAGTTAACTAAGTAAAGGAAAAAAAATGGAAAACATAAACAAGAGATTAATATAAGTAAAACTAAAGCATTACAATAAAGAAAAAGAGCAAGAATATAATCTTAATTTGAAAATCAAGATGCCTAAATACATGAAAAATACCTCCTTTTATAGGCCGAAATTTGAAACTATTGATTTGTTGACTAATTGTTGAGTGGGTGATCACATCTTGACTTGGTAACAATCCTTATCTTCTTGTCTGATCAAAATATCATTACTAACATCAGAATTTGAACAGATTACCCCATCAAAGTTCTAGAAAATTATTTCGGCATTCCAACAAAATAAAAAAATGAGGTCATTTGAACTTCTAGAACTCGAGATATGACCTAAATACTGAACAATGTTTGAGCTGCATAATAGATTCATACTTCTCCGTTGTTGTTAAGATTTGGATTTCCAAACGACAACATTGAGTCTTGCACTCTCATGAATGTTTTAAGCTATGTCTTAGCTTTCCATCCATATAGAGCAAACCTAAATCCAATTACTACAACTCCAGTTATGATCCAATAACCGAACAGTGTTCTAGTTTGGGCTGAACCAACATTTCTTTTCTAAGCTTGGCCCTCTTCTTGCCTTCTAAATTTCAGAAGTTAAACTCATCAATTAATCATTTTATTTATGTGATAGGCCTTTATTTAAGATAAATATTTATCATAAATTAAAGGTATCTTGTAGTATTAGACATGATATTATAAAACATGTTTTAGTTAAGGAGTTATTAATATTTCAAGTGCAAAATAATGATATAAAACCTTAATAAAAATACACTTTTAAGTACTAATCATCCTACCAGTATCAGGACCCAACTTTTTAAAAAAAATAAAAGGTGAGCCCACGACGTTTGGTTGCGTGCCTGGGGCTTAGGCATACCCTATGCTCACATGACGCTTAGGTTGTGCTGGACGTGTCTAAGCTTGTGCCATTCTTAGGCACACCTGACACTTAGGTCATGCTACTGAACTCAATTAAAATTGGTCCAGCGTCATGATCCAAGATCAATAGGTCATGCGTAAGGATTCGATTTTAAATATTATTATTTGTTTTAGAAATATTATTATTTTTATTGAAATTAATATTATTTATAAAATAATTAATAAATTTGAAAAAAATATTACTATTAATATTGAAAACATATTATTATTTATATTATAAACTT